ATGTCTAAATCTGTTGAGAATCGGGGACTAGGGGGGGGGGGACGTGTGAACACTACAACGTTGAATACTGTCAATATTTTTATTTAATTTTAGTTTTGCATTTCATCACTGACAAGCCTCAGGGTTCAAAATTTCCAGGACCCCTTAGCAGGCTTACATCTTCTGGCGTTCCCAGCACTAGTGCTGTAAAAGTTACTTATTTTTTGGAACTATTTAAAGTTCTGCAGGTTTTAATAAGTAAATTACTGTAAAGAATAGGATAACCCAACTGCAAACCGGCAAATAGGAGGGGAGTTACTGTATTGTACAGTCAATCGGTTATCGACCACATTAAGATAATAAAAGTTGATAGTCTAAACAAAACAGCAAGTACTATATTTTAACGTGAAAATGTAACGAAAAAAGTAACAAAAATGTTGGTCGGAAAAGTAACGCGTTATCGTTCCATTTTAAGCAACTATGTAACTAGTTATATAAGTACAGTTACCTCCTTCAAAACGTAACTAGTTACGTTACAGTTACCTAATAAAAAAGTAACAATTACTTGTAATTTGGTTACTTGTAACGAAGTTACTTACAGCAGTGCCCAGCACCCACCCAACAATATCTTGATTACGCTTACATTGTCCCCCCCCCCCCCACCTTCTGTTTCGCTGGTTACGCCACTGACTATATCCTCTGGTTCAGTTAAAGTGAGCCAATGCTCCCAAAAAAGACATAATACAATTTTATGTAGCATGTATTAGACCAGTACTGGAATATGCATTCATTGTTTTCCATTGTTCCCTTCCAAAGTACCTTAGTGATGACATAGAAGACTGCTTGTTCAAAAACATACTCATTCTATTTTATATCCTAGCTGGCAAAGTTATATGCCAATACAGCAAATTCTATATGGAATAGGCAGCCCAGCAAATATGTGTATTGACTTAAAAATGCATTAAACGTTCAAAAATGCGTATAAAGTTCGTCTGACTTTGCATCAAGCGATTTATTGCATAGCTCATTATATATGCAGATTCCGATGTTTACGTCATTTTTCATATATTATAATACACTATATGAAAATACAATGCCGTAAAATGACGTAAACATCGGAATCTGCTTATATAATGAGCCACACAATAAATCGCTTGATGAATGATGGCAAAGTCAGACGAACTTTATACGCATTTTTAAGCGTTTAATGCATTTTTAAGTGAATACACATATTGATTTCTTGCCCACAATGTCAAATTCCCCAGCACCCCCGAAAGCAACATGGCAACCTTTTCAAACAAAAATATCACATATGTATATTTAATATAGTCATGCCTTTTTAAAATCTATTCAAAACTTCTCTTCTATATTGCAAAACTGATACATTTTCCAGTTATAAACGTTTTTGTTACGAAGACGATAAACATTTGTTCAAATTTTGTGAAATAACCATAGAAATAATAGATATATCTATTATTTCTATGGAAATAACCCTCTGGAAATAACCCTTGCTCGATCAACCGCAAGCTGACAACAACGTGGATTTAAAGATTCCTGTCAGTGTCTCACTGTACACAACATTACCTATGTCATCCCGGTTTATCCCATCATATCCCCGCGAAAACATCGATTTGTAGCAATAATTATAGCCAACCAATCAACAAAGCACTATTAAACTCACAACGTTTACACGCTGTGATTTCTCGTGCACGATTCGCATTCTGGGATTCTAGCTGGCGTATAAAAATTACTGCTGACGTTGCAATTCCTCTGCATTTACTTTATGGCAAAATTTGAAATGCACGTTGACATGAAGAACTTTGAAATGAAGGCAACCAATTTTACGCGTGGTTTTTCGATTACATACGCCAGAATGCGAATCGTATACGACAATGGCAGCGTGTAAACGTACCATCACCCGTAATGAACACCCGTGAGGTAGTCAAACGCAAAGTCAAACCCTGCATGCTGAGCTCTTCACCCCGATCTCACCTGTAAACACGCTAGAGCAAAAACCCTGATTTATGCTGGTCATGTACACGACACCCCAAATTCTGGGGTGTCTCAAATAAGCACCTCCTTACATTTCGAGACTTAAAGTTGGTCTAAACATAATCATTAGCGAGGTTCAGATTTGACGCCCACTACCGCTACCATTAAGGGACCATTAGCCAATCAGATGCGTTTAGATATATCCCCAATCGACCAATCAAATGTTTACTAAGCCAGTGGGAGATATCCGTAGTTAAATCTGAACCTCTCTAATAGAATAAGGTTAGGAAACTCGGTGCAAACATAAATCTCTTTAAATGATGTTTGTGACTGTAAATCTCTTTGAATAATGTTTGTGAAAATCTTGCTACAATCAATCTGCTTTCAAATTTAAAGACTTTTAAAATTTTCACACAATTCAAAGACTTTTCAAAGACCTTTCAAGACATACATTCGAATTTAAAGCACGCCTGCACGTGATTATTTGGTCGAACATTTATCAGTTTTTCTCGGACAATAGACAGTCAAAGTAAAAATTTTCATATTATTTCAAATTAGAACGATGTATTTAGACGTATTTATTTCCTCTCTAAAAGTTGTATGATATATTACATTCGACCATCCGATAACTATTACCGGGCATATTTGGTTCTAAACATGACTTCCTCAGTTCCTCTAATCTATATGCTTTCTTAAAATATGGCCGGGAGAGAAGAGTTTGAAAAAAGCTTGTGACGTCAAATCGGGAACGGAAGTAGTGGCTCTCATGTAGGTTTTGAGGATTTGGTCAAACATTTGACAGAAAAATGCCTTCAGGTTGTGTTGCATTCGGATGTTACTGTGGCAAGGTATAAAATGACAAGGATTCTATTACTTCCGTTCCCGATTTGACGTCACAAGCCTTATTCAGACTCAGACTTACTTCTCCCGGCTATACAGGTTTATGAATTTAAAAAAAACCAACTTCGTTCAATATCTACGAAAAAGTCGATTAATTACCTTTTTTCGAAAAATCTCTTCCAGCCACGATAATTGCATTCAATAATCATTGTCGTCAAACTTGTGGGTTGCCTGTTTTTTGACTTCCTTGCATCTACCAAAGCTTCTATATAATCATCTTTCTTCGATTCACTCCAAACATTATAAATCGGGGTGGGAAATGGTGTCATAGATGATAATGCATAACTACAGAGTAATCGGCACAATCTACCGTTGCCGTCGCTGAAAGGGTGCAAGTCCAAAAGTTCAAACAACAGCCAGCTGCAAGTCTTGAACATCTTATAAATTTGGTCCTCCAAATTTTCCTCGTCTTTCACACAATATGTTATCAAATCATTGTACCTGTCCAATAGTGTCTGTACCTTTCTTTCCAAATCTTCCGGGTTCGCGTAAAAATACTCTTCCCCTCTAAAACTTGTACATCGCTTACCTTTACTGAATTCACCAGGTTTAGTTAAGTTCTTGGGCAACTCAATATCTTTAAGGATCAACTTGTGTACATGCTTAACTAAATTTATTTCTAGTAACCCATGCAATTTTGTGGCCTCACCACTATCTTCGACTCTCTTGACCTCGTCGAGAAGGTATTCATAAGCATCTCGTAGGTTTACAGTTTCCTTTTCCTTTTCAGATAAAGGCCGCTGTGGAGTGATAGTATCTATGATGAGGCAAGATTTAACTCCTTCCATCGTATCACACCCATGCCCTTCTTCAATGTTTATATGGTAAAGAAATTTGCTTAAAAAATCGTGATCAACCTGTTTAGGAATTTTCCCATCAGTACTAGTAGAGTCCTTCTGATTTTTCCATTGGATCTGGTATTGTCTAATTTCTTCAATCATTTTCTTTACAGTAAGACCTTGTGTGTCTTTCCCCCACCATTTTGGGGACTCGTCAGCTTCAAAATCGATAGAACTCGCAACAGTGGACATTGCCCAATTTTTTGTCTACAAAAAGTGATAGAAAAAACACCAAATGTTATTCTTACAACGCAGAGTACGAAAACTATCGACCCCTATGTTTTCTCACGTTTAATCGATTGGAACTGAAAATTCAGGTCAAAGTAAACTTGCTCTTTGTCACTATACCAGTGACACAGAATACTAGGAGTCACTCTGAGTAGCATCACCCCTTGTGTGCTATCATGTCATTCACACTATAGTGGATGAAAACATTAGGGGTTTGAAGCATTATCACGGTTTTGGACATCTCACTCGATATAACTAATTGTTGAAGGGACTTGTAGATGGAAATTCCGAGTGGTATTTTTATACATTTATTAGACCTAGTTGTGAAACATCTGTTAGAGCAGTTGTGAAATATGCAACTATAGGCCTTCTGACAGAGGTGTAACTTAACACTTGCCCGCTTGCCCGGGGCAAGTGAATATCATGACGGGCACGTACACGTTTTATCTTGCTTGCCCGATTGGGCAAGTTGCCTTGCCACAAAAAGCTGGGCATCTTTAAGTTTATGTTTTCATTGTTGGATAACTTGATTCATCAAAGTTTGTTTTTTGTGACCCTCTACCTAGGTATCCCAGCGGCCATTGTCTGATGGCAAGTGAATTTTATTCAAGGCAACTAATTTTCATGTCCAACTTGCCCTGAGGGCAAGTGGTCAAAAAAGTAAAGTTACAGAGTTCCCAGAGTATGCCTGTTCGCGGGTTATGTAGTGGCATGCCACTACATAACCCGCGAACAGGCATACTCTGGAAACGAGATTGATTAAAAGCTGGAATTGCCTATTAAACATCTATGGATGCCCAACTTACATCAAACCTTTTCTACGTTTAAATTGTTACAGATCAACCTTTTTGGTGTTGTGATTTATAGGGGTGCCTGGATAGAGCTTTTTGCTATGCAGCCTAACACCGGATATTATTCTTCTAAGATTCAGGCCTCATTTAAGGTCAAATAATAATTTTAATTGATTAAGGTGGCTCCCTACAGTTGACTTCAGTTGACTAGAAGTGAAAACACGATTATAAAATGGAAGCACGATAATTCTAAAAGTGGAAACACTCGCTTCGCGCGGAATCCACTAAAAAATTGAAAAAAGCCGTATCAAACTTTATGACAAGGAAGAAAACGCAGTTAATTCTACCTCGGAACTATCCGACCGAGTTTGTAAACCGTGAGAGCGAAATATCCGAAATGCAAGCGAACTGATTGCCATAATCAAACGAGACATAAACGCGTTGCCTGTGAACGTTCGAATAAATAGACCGTTGTATATTCAAAACCTCAGTTGCCAATATGAACTTCCTCGTTTCAAAAGGCTATAATTTACCTTTTGATTGGTATTGCATGGATGGAAATTATCGAGTGAAAATTTATATACATTTATTAGACATAAGTCACATAACCAGTAACAGAAGCAAAAAATGCAACTTAAAACTTTAGGTCCCTGGCAGGAAATGAACCCGCGGCCCTGCGATTCCGGTGCAGGGCTCTAACCAACTGAGTTACAGAGACCAGTTGTCGAGCTCTAACCACAAGTTTATGCAATATATACTAGGGTACTGCCATGTTAGGGTATGGGTAAATATGAAGATTTTTGTGGCATCTCACTCAAATGAATAATATTTGAGGGGTATTGTAGATGGAAATTGTCGAGTGGAAATTTATAGCTATATGTTTATTAATTTTAAATATACATTTATTAATTAAATGGAAATTTATATACATTTCTGTGTTGGTGTAATGTATACTTAGGAGAATATGATGCTTGTGATGTTACTCCACTACTCCAGTGTGTATATCCACACCGTGCAAGCTTGAAAAGTATGCCTGACCACGGTGGGAATTGAACCTACGACCTTTGGAATACTAGCCCAATGCTCTGCCAACTGAGCTACGCGGTCAGGCATATTTTTCAAGCTTGCACGGTGTGGATATACACTCAGAGTAACATCACAAGCATTATATACATTTATTAAGCGAAAATTTATATACCTTTTTTAAACATACATTTATTAAATTTATATACATTTATTAGACAGTACGCTAGTATATATACATGAACTTGTGGTTAGAGCTTGACAATTGGTCTCTGTAGCTCAGTTGGTTATAGCGCTGCACCAGAATTGCTACCCTGGATTCCAGAGCCTTCGACAGTAAATAATAAATTGAAGTGTCGCGAAGGCTCTGGTTCAACGGGGCGATTCTTTGATTAAGCCGCGCCAATCACAAAACAGAATTAGTGGTTTTAGTACAGAATCTGTACTAAAACCACTAATTTTGTTTTGTGATTGGCGCGGCTTAATCAAAGAATCGCCCCGTTGAACCAGAGCCTTCGCGACACTTCAATTTATTATTTACTGTCGAAGGCTCTGGAATCCAGGGTACAGAATTGCAGGGCCGCAGGTTCAATTCCTGCCAGGGACCTAAAGTTGCATTTTCCGCTTCTGTTCCTTGTTATAGGTCTAATAAAAAGTATATAAATTTCCACTCAACAATTTCCATCTACAATACCCATCAAATATTATTCATTTGATTGAGACGCCACAAAAAATCTTGATATAATTTAGCTTGATATAATTTAGATGAACTCCCACACAGCAATCTTATAAACCAGTATATCATATTCTTTTATTTATTTTTGCATGGTTAAACTTATATATATATACTGAAAATTCCACCGTGGATAAATAAATTTTATTGTATTGTATTGTTTTCAATCTTAAACTAACACATACACTTTGCCTTAAAAAGGTTTTCTGGTGAAAAATTGTAATAGTTTTCAAATTGATCAATGATATTTTCAAAAAGTGTATTGCAATTTGGAAGTTGCAAATATGTTAATTTCCACACCTTATTTGTGACCACAATATTATACTGAACTGTCACTGAAAATGGCACAAAACTCATGAGCCAGTTGTGGGAACAAGGATGGCATGCACTTTGTGATGCTGCATTTATTTAACCCACTAAAGTGCAAGACTCTCCCTTTACGGGTAAAATTGTCTGCTATTAGATTAATTATGTGTCGTTTTAGAAAAGATTCACAATTCCCACATGGAGAAAATTTCTTCTGTCCGGAGGTAGCCTGCTCACAGACGTTGTAGTTCTTACACCAAGCGACGAAATACTACCGTCTGCTTACCCGAGCGCCAAACTGAATTCCGCTACGTCGACCAATCAGAATTTACCTTCCATATTCTGGAAAGTGACGTCAGTTGATATAGGAGCGGAATAAATATAAATATATATTTTGAAAGCAGTCGTCGGTTGAATTTTGGTCAAAATTGCACATAAATTGAATTTAAAGATACTGATACTTGTCCAGGTAATAAAATGCACCATTAATGGTCAGATTTGGATATTAAAGATGTTCGGTTATATTTAAAACGCGGACAGGATTGGCATGTTTAATATTACTGTATGAAGCCAGACAGGCGAGACAGCATCAAATGCCGAATATATTTTGCTGAAATTTGAACTTTTGACGGATGTTTATCTTTATAAGACAACAGAACTCGGAAGACAGAAAATTTTATATAATACTGTGGCTTAGAAAGCGAAATATTAGCTTCAAAGTAAACTAATTTGCTGTTTGAGCAACCACTTCTGAATGTACTGTAAACACAACACAAACCCGAGAAACTTGTATTAAAATTGCGCCGTGATGAATTTTCCAATTCGCCCAAACTTCCAAACGTTTATACTCTAACTTGGCTATACTTTTCTACATGACAATGAGAGCTTAATCTTTTAGAAGTTTTCGTCGAAGTCATGGCATATAGGAAGTATCAAGAGCAACATTTGGACATATCCTGATATACTCCAGTTTCCCGATTGATTGTTTGTCATTGTTATCAAAAATTTTAATTTCGCCTACTGCATTGCTTTAGCACTTTATATACACCGATTGTTTGCTGAACATGCGAGAAGATGATCACAAT